GAACCTCATGGGCACCCCCCCCCGCGCCCTGGCGGGGCGGGGAGCCGTGCCGCGGCTGCTCCTGGACCAGGTAGCTGCCGGCTCTGCGCACCGATTCCTGCAGAAGCCAAACATACGGCGGCACAGCGGGGGAGCCCGCCAGCGAGCGGCGATGAGCAAACGCAGGAAGGACGGGGGGAAGGAGGCCCCTTGGACGCCGGCGGTGGTAGAGTCACTTGCGATGCCTTAGGAGGTGTTTCAAGGGCAACCCTCTGCGGCTGTTTGAGTTTGTCGGCGGCGTAATTGAAAGCTCAATACTATTTGATTTATGCTATTAAGGTGCTGTGTTTCTACTCCGGCTCTGGAAGGAAATTAAGCAGCCGGAGAGGAGAGGGCTTTTGGGAAAAGACTTGGTGGCTTCATTTTAAAAAGGACACTGCCAAGGTTGGGAGCTCTACAAGGGAGATGAGACGACCCCTCCGCCGGCGCCCATCCCCATCAGATCTCTGCACACCGCTCATCACCCCTTCCATAAACCAAAGGTTATCGTCCTCCCAAAACTGGGACATTTAATTAAAAAAAATCATCCGGGGGAAAAAAGGGAATATCTTTCTGGAGCCCGCCTGCCACCGCAGAGCCTGGCGTCGCAGGGGCATTTGATGCTGAGGCTCTGCCTCTCCTCGGGGCAGGGGTGACCCCAATCTCCACAGCACTTGCAGGGTAGGCATCAAGTATTACATCCTTTTACAGAAAAGGAACAAAATGAGTGGTGGTGTGTGCATCAACACAGCTTTTCAGTATCTCTGTTCATTTTTGTATTCTCCTCTATGACCAAGAAGCCTTATTTTTGAGTTTGCAACCACGCACCGGCCACCTTCCCGGCAGCAACCAAACCTCTTCCCCATCCTGCAGCCTCCTGCCTCCATCACAGCTCCCACCACGCTGCCCTGATGGCTTCTTCTAACGGCCTTCACAGCACCTCTGCTAACCCTACAAGCTAAAGAGCAACGCACGTTGACCTTGCCTCCATCCATCGGGTTTTGACCGCGGCAGCGCTGCTCTGAATTAAACCAACCTTGGGCGAGCTCACCTCCACGTGATGGATGGACATCAGCTCCGGCTCACAGCGTGGCTCTGCAGCAGAGGACCCACCCTGGGAGAGGACCTCTGCATCCATGTGCTGGGCACGACGCCAAGCTGAAGGCAGAGTGGAGGGAGGGAGGTCCGCACGGATGGACCGCTGCCCCGTGGAGCCCGGGCAGGATGCTCAGAGAGATCTTCCCCTTGCTGACCTCCACACCGCCCAGGAGACATCGGTGGCCTTTTCTCCTCCTTCCCTGGCGAGTGACCGCACGCAGGCACGGTTCAGGGCTCCGACGCTCAAACCACCCGACTCAAAAACACCAAAAAAAAAACTTTTGGGGGACAGACAAAGACTGAAAAATTAACTGCCTGGCCTCTTCCTCCGCTGCGTTTATTGCTGTCTTGGCAGATGAATTTCAGGTTGCTGCCACAGCCGCAAACCGCTTGTTCTGCCAACTGTACATTACTAACATTGGAAGGTGTCCAGACCTAGGAATCTTTTCTAAAAGCATTTGCTTCATACTTTAAATAGCAGCCCAGCAGGCAGGGGGATGGGAGGGAGGGCTCAGCCCCTGCGTGAGATCCATCTGCAAGCTTCTGCCGGCTCCTCCACCCCTTTGCGGGTTAAAACCAAGGACGACCCGTGGTGGAGGTGCAGGGTGGGGAGAGCCGGTGGGATGCGACTTCCAAACCCTCCGGGGCTGGCGGTGGGGACGATGCCTGCCCCGGGATGTCCCCGCTCCCCCAGTGCTGCCACCTGCCCCCTCCCCAGCTCCACAGCACATTTTCCAAATTAAATTAATAACAGTACGTCGGCAGTTTTTTCATTGAAATCTGCTCTGCTACGAGGTTTAGCATCATTTTTTTCCCTGTGCTTATGGGTTTTGCTTATTATTGGGCTGAACAGCGTCACTGAACATCTACAACTGCCTGAGAGGAGGGGGGAGCCGGGGGGGTCGGGCTCTGCTCCCAGGGAAGGGGCGATGGGACGAGGGGCACCGGCCTCAAGTTGTGCCAGGGCAGGGTGAGGTTGGGCATGGGGAACAATTCCTTCCCCTTGGGGCTGTCAGGCACTGGAAGGGGCTGCCCAGGGAAGGGGTCGAGTCCCCAGCCCTGGGGGGATTTAACAGCCGGGCAGAGGCGGTGCTGAGGGCCAGGGTTTGGGGGTGGGATGGCAGGGGTAGGGGAACGCTTGGGCTGGGGGATCCTAAGGGGCTTTGCCAACCCAAACCATTCTATGATTCTATTCTATGATTTGCTGGGACGTCCTGAGCCCGCGGTAACACATCGCTGCCAAGTCCAAACTCCCCGGCTCCTCGCTGTTACATGAAATCACATCTCCAGGTGGGTTTCCTAACGGAGCGTTAGACGGAGCACGGCCAATGCTGTGGGATACGTCGCTGTTACTTTAGCAGCAAAACCCCACCCTCAACAGTTAGCAAATATTAATCAGGTTTATGGCTGAGAGAGAGGAGGAGGAGGAAGGGCATGGGCAAGGAAACACGACGGCTAACACTCGATATAACTACAAGGACAGAAAATTGTCTCTGGCCACAAATATTCTGACTTTTTGCCATATTTTTCCTACCTCCTCACGTAACACGCTCTCACCGTAAACTGCTAGGGGCAAACGCAGGTGAAGTGCCTTTGCCTCGGTAATTGGGCGCCGCCGCCGCTAGATAAGCCGGCACTACAGAACAAAGCTCAAGGCGTAATATTTTTAAGTAGCGCTTGCCCTAGTTAATGTTCAGCCCTGCCGTGCAATGTCAAGAAAAGGAATGAACAAGGAAGCGGCAGCGAGTGGGAACCTGGGCGGACTCACCCGCTACCAAATGCCTTCAGAGCCCGGGCACAACGTGAGGGAAATCTAAAAGCAGTCATCCTGGCTCATCGGGAAGCCCGGGCAGCCAGCGCAACGTGAGCTGAATGCTTTGCCACCATGCCTGCCCCAAAATTCAATGCCTAAAGTAATAGCGAGCTGGGAGGACCTAAAGCAATGCTTTGCTTAAACTGAAAGAGGGGAGATCCAGGCGGGATAGGAGGGAGAAATTGTTTGTGCTGAGGGGGGAAGACCCTGGCCCAGGTTGCCCAGAGCGGTGGTGGCTGCCCCATGCCTGGGAACATTCCAGGTCAGGTTGGACGGGGCTGGGAGCAACCGGCTCCGGTTGGAGATGTCCCTGCTGATGGCAGGGGTTGGGCTGGGTGAGCTGGAACGCTCCCTTCTCACCCAAACTGTCCTGTGATTCTACGGAGCACCTGCGTGTGCATACCCACCTTCCAGCCATGGAGTTTGGGAAAAATTTAACATCTGTTCTCAGGCAACATCGCTCCGCTCTGAGCGTGCGGCGGGAGCTTTGGCAAAGGCAACATTTGACGGATGACGCGCGCTCAGCGCTAATACTGAGCGGGATTCACCTTGTGCATGAAGGACAAAGTGTTCGCGTGAAGGACAAAGTATTTGCACCAAGGAACAAGTATTTGAGCACACAAGATGGGCAGCGGGCATGATGTGGAGCAAGCTGGAGCCCACCTGCAGCAGCTCCAGGAGGGATGCTGGGGTTGCAAGGACCCGAATAAGTCCTGCTCCCTCCTTAATACACCGCACCCCTTCTCCTGTGCATCGCTTGAGCCCTTTGGACTTCCACATTTCAATCTATGAGTTGACACTCGGGGTGAATTTTAACCTTTATATGGCTTCTCAAGCACCTTTCCTCTGTTTACCAGTTACAGCGCCGTATTCACCGGCAGGAGGTGGATTAATGCCCCCTCTAATCTGTTCGGTTGGCAGGAGAACAGATCTGACAAGGGTACATGGTTCTTCACCGAGCCTCGCACGGCGTGCGGCAGAGCTATCCGTCCTTCACCTTTCCCAGCTATAAACTGGGGTTTCTGCACACACTTAATAGCAGTAGTGCTGGTAAGCACTTCATGGGCCTGATCCTGAAAGCTTAACAAGCACTTCTGATTATTTTAATCTAAGGAATCATTTCAGGATGAATCACCAAGGCCAGAGTAAAGTGCCACCTTGCACCAGAAACAAAGGTGGTGTCTTAAACAAGCCGAGCAACATGGGCAAAGCACCACCTTTTGTATGAACTCTCCCATAAAGGCGCGAGAAGGAAAACTATTGCAATGGAGCGATTGTGTCATGATTTCTCATGAATTAAGTCATGATGATCTGCTGCAATTCAGTGTCTGAAGGGTACTGCGAGAACGCTCTTACTCGGAAGCTTCCCGACAAGCCAAGGCAGGAGGCTGCTGCCTTACCTTGCTCCAACCTCTTCATCTGCTGGATCTGATCAACCGTCTTTTTTAGGATCTTGCATTTGTCAGGTTTGACACTCAGGGTGTCGATGTCCCCGATGTTTGCCGACAGCAGCTCCGCCAGCTCCTCTAAATATTTGTTCTCCTGTTCCCGTCGCCGCTTTTCATTCCTGTTCGGGAAAGAA